AACTAGGAATCTCGTCGATCTTTCAATCTCCTTGATCCCTTTGTGGTTGATCTTCTTTTGCCTTCCAATTGCTCCTCTTGTGTGTTTCCAAGCCTCTCTAACGTGTTCCCCTCTTTTTGGCCTCTCAAACTAGGTTAAATATGCTTCCTCTTGTGTCCAAAAACCTCTCCTAGTCAAATTAGGCAAGTATTAAAATTCTGTTCCAGCGCGCGACACGGCCTGACACGCCCGTGTCACAGCCCGTGTCACGGGTCGTGTCAGGTATCAAGCCTCGGAATGCCCCTGTTCATGTGACACGGCCACCTGACACGGGCATGGTGCCCGAGTCACTGCCCGTGTCACATCCCAGCACTCTCGTTTTTGTCCGTTTCACTCGTTTCTTCCATTTTTCTCATCCGTGCATCAATCCATCATCATCTCGGGGGTCCTAGGTACTCACCATGCGCTTCCAATAGCCACAAGCTCTAAAAATACGTGAAAATATCTACAAAACAAGCACGTGTAATACCTTTCCAACAAATAGAGAATTAAAGCACAAATATGCGATTTATACACCAATAACGCAATGACTAAGCTCTAGATACTCAATAAATATGGTGTAAAATCACACATGAACAAAGCATTGGGCTCACATTTAATTATCCTATTGGGTTAGGCCTATATTAAATAGTCAAACAAATCTAAGCCATTAATCTGGATATTTGATGGACGTACCAAATCTAAAGCACCCCTATATAAATTAGTCATCTCTCCTCCTATTAGGGTACGCAGTAATTATCCCATCACTTTCTGCTACGTTAAGAGAAGGTCAGGAGGGAGAAACTGATTTAGATCTATCAATCGATTCAACCCCGTGTGATCATCAAGATCAAGATCGCAAATTATGTCGTCTTCCGCATCAAGTAAGTAATTTGTATACACCAAATTATTTATTCAAGATCCATGATAAAGTTTACATAAGTAGGTCTAACAAATAAATGACAAAATCTCTATAATTTACAGATAGGATAATATTTGTAATGCATCATCTATTTGCAAAGGAGATTTTTTTTAATTGAATGCGCTAATGAGGTTTTATATTTCCATGGGTATGTAAATTCGCGTTTCAATTTTGCCAAACCAATTTCCTACCTACTTTTCCTCTGTGGCCCGATGGCCTAACACGGGCCCAGCCCGGCCTAAGCAGCACGTGCTTGAGTAAGGCTGCCTAAGCGAAGGAAAATGTAAAATAAGAGGGTATATATGAATATGATACATCCAACCAACCTTGACATGACAGTCAAACTATATAATCTTGCCTTTTCATGAAGTACATTATAACTAAATATATGCTAACATTCTTTGTGTAATTCTTACCTTTAGCCTGACCTTAATTTATAGAATTTTCAATAACTAATCTATATATCTATATATAATAAGAATTACCATTTACCAAAAATAGTAGCAAAAAAATTGGTCAAAATTTAATGCAGCCTATAAATAATAAGTTTTATTATTTTTATTTTTTTTTTAAAAAAAATCATACAACATTTAATGCTACCTTAGTTCATTTTATTATTTAAAAAATCCGGTTGAAACAATGAACAACATTAAAATCTCGGTCTCTATATTTATAAAATCTCAATTCAAAATATAACAAAGGTTTTAGAATCTCGGTCTTTATATTTGTGCTTTTAAAAAAATATTGAACGCTAAAATTAATCTTTAAATTGCATAATTAATCAATTAATCTTAATTTTTTAAAAATTACTATGTTTATTTTTTAATAATATTCATAAAGTAAAAATAATTAATTCATCTTTAGATATATAATTCATAATCTCAATATACATTTAGTGTAGACATTTATTATATGAATCATAAAGCATTTTTATTTGATAAAATTAAATATATTTAAAGAAAATAAGAAAATTTCTTCGGATCAATCGGGTGATTGAATAGGGGTACTGAAAAGGTTGATTGAATTGCTTTTAGGCGATATTTAAAATGATCAAAAAACTTGACACAACTTGGTTGGTCTCAGGTGACTAAGTTATGTATCAATTCGATCACACCAAATCGATTATTGAACCTAAATATAAATATTTTATTACGTGAATGTGATGTAATCCAAACTTCAAATAATCGTATTAACAATACTTTTACGACAATATGTTTAATGATTTATGAATATTTATATATCATTTTATTAATATTTATGTGAATTAAATAATATTTTATTATAATATTTATTAATGTACAATAAATATAATGTTTTCAGAATTGGACCGTCATCGAAATGATCAAGCTATTTTATTAAATCATTTGTGGTTTGTTCAGATTTTAATTTATAAACATTTTAATATATATATAGTAATTTTTGTAATAAATTTAAATAAAATGTGTTACTTAGATATCTAAACAATTTATAAATTCAAATGTTTAACCTAATTGATAAATAATTTATAAATCTCTATTTTATTTAAATATGTATTTTTATTTAAAATAATTTAAATATAACAAAATTTATTTAGAAAATCGTATCGATCCTACAAATCCAACCGACTGGTGTTGACGGATTCGAGAGCCAATAAAGTATTCAAACGAACTATACTGGTTATAAACCGGTTATCGGTCCATCCGGTCGGACTGTGTCCAACCCGGTTTAATTTAAAAACAATGGAAAAATCATGATTAATATTATTTATATATTTAATTTTTAATACAATCGTAATATTGTTTTCCGGTGCATCGCACGGGCCACGCACTAGTTGAATACAATATTGAGGTGGGTAATTAATTTCTCCACTATCACCATTAATAAATCTTATCTATGTTTGCTTTATCACCATTAATAAAATATATCTCCAAAAGCATGTTTGTGTACCAACCAATATTGAGACATGTATACCTACGTGGTAAGATTAAATTCCAAAATTTATAAATAAGTATATACATAGAAAAATGTAATGAATAATTAATAAGATCCAAAGGTGCGACTTTCAGCTTACTTTATAATTGCAAACGTCCCAATATTTGTTGACTTAGTACAACTATTGTCATTTGTTAGTAGAATCCATCCTTATATATAAATAAATGTAAAGTTTTTTTTTAAAAAAAAAAAATTATGTATCAACTTCGTGCTTCATAATTATATTTGTTGACTTATAGTTCCGATACCATATATATTAATTTCTAAATTGACTAACTGAAATTATATTTATATTTAAAAGTTAATAACTTTAGTATTTGTTTATCACTGAGCCACTGGGCTTCGTTCACTCCTAAATCAGTGAATCCCGGGAAGGGAACTCCGAAATCCATTTCTATATTAGATTAATTATTTCCTGATGAATTTTAAATTTGGCATCCATATTTGATTCAAATAATTATATATTTACCTTTATAATAAAAAATAAATTATCCATCAATATGTATTAATAAAATAAAATTATTTATCAATTAAAATAAAATATTATATCAAATCTATTATATATTCTGAATTAAAAACTTTATAATCTAAAAGCCATAAAAGTGGTGAGCTTTATTTTAAATATAATAATAATTTAACTTCTTGAAAAATAATTGAAAGTTAAAGCAAACTTTTTTATTAAATTTAAAAGAATAAATTTGTAGCATTCGTGTCACTATTCTAATTTCTAAACCAGTCTGATTCCGCTGTTCTAGATTGTTCTTCAGAGTCAAAGACTGTACCCATTTGAGTGTATCACTTTTCCATCTCATTTTCGCAATTTACCTTCGAAAAAGATTGTAGCCTGCGGTAAATCAATTTTCATCATCACATCCAATATCGCAAAATTCATTTTTTGCATATATTGCTCATTTAACTGATACATTCAATCTATAATGATTACAACACCAAAGTTCAACCTTTCTGGTACAACTCACTTACAAATTCTTATGGTAATTATTTATTGATTCAATTAGTTTTTATTTGATTTTTTTTTTAGTTATAGTTAATTTTGAAAAAAAAAATGGTATGGTTCATTGTTAGTGGATATATTAAAATAATATTTAAATAAAATAATTAAAGTTGATTTGATGTAAAGTAGGAGAAAAATAATTGGAAGTGATGGTTATTAAAAATTATATGAGTGGATGAATAGTGAATTAAAGTTGATGTGATGTATAAAAATGATTGGTAATATTATTTAATTATATTGATAATATGGGAGATAGTGAAGTTGGCTTAAAGTTGAGTTAGATTTGAATTTTGATTGATTATTTTACTGTTGAAAATATAAACAATCGTACTCTTACCAGCCCATAATTGTATTGCAAGACAAATTATGAAATGCATAATTGCATTTTCCAACAGTTCACCAACACAACTTGATTAACCAGCGGAATTTAAATAGCTAATTGTACTCATTTCCAACACAACTTCATCCACAAACAAAACTCGAACAACCAATTGAGCTTCTTATTTACAAAATAAGTCGAGCCGAATTTATTCATGAGCGCATTGTTTTTTAAATTTTTTTAACGAGTTTTAATTGATCAAACTTGTCCACTAACAGTACTCTTGTTTGCAAACAACTCATTTAAAATTTTAAATTTATCAACCAAACTCGATTGAAATTAAACATACTCGAACACGAAACCCTAGTAAAAAACTATTCCCTCCTATTCATAATAGTGTCATTTTGAAAAATTGCACAGTAATTAAGAATTTTTTTTTACAAATAATAAATCTCATTAATAAAGATAGAAATAAATATTTTGAGAAAAAATAAAGAATGAATATGAAAAGATGTACTTATTAACTAAATGAAAATAATAATAAAAACATATATGCGAAAAATTCAAAACATCATTTATTTAATTAATAGTTGATAAAACTAAAATAAAATTTAAAAAGAATAAGAAATAGTAATAAACAAATGCCCCAAATTAGAAGCTATGAACGAGACATCATGCACAGTAATATATGTACAAGACACTATATCCCACTCTATTCCACTATTTTATTCAATAGTCTTTCATAGGGCTATATGACAANGAGGCTCACAAAATTCTACTGCATTCTCCTGTAGATTTTATACTTAAAAAAACTCCAGACAGGACCACATGTAGATCACAACACAAACACCATGTCCATCACTAAACCAAAGAAAAATAAAAACAGAAAGAAAAAAAAAAAGAACCATGGTACAGTTTACCATGTGCCCCTTACCCAAATAATCCCCATTCTACCCTCGTCCACCCCCAACATTTACATAACGGTACACGCATTGGGATTCTCATCACTGAACATCTGTGGAGGGTATGCATAGTGTGGGTATGCATAGTTTTCTTGCACATACCTTTGTGGGTAAAAGTTATGCTGTTGTGGGTAGTAATAGTTCAACTCATGCTTCTTCATTTCGAGCTTCGACTCCTCAGAAGAATCGGCCGCCGGAGAAGAAGGAATTAATTCCTCCTTCTCTTTTTCGGGCTCGTCGGCCCCTTTCTTGGCCTCCTTACCCTTTTCGTCTTTTTTCTCCTCTTTTCCTTCTTCTTTGGCCTTCTCGCCTTCTTTCTTGTCGGGCTCGACTTTTACGACAGTCACGTGTTTTCCGGTCCGCTTGTGAACATGGCCGACGAGCTTTTCGGGCTCGATTATGCCTTTGACTTTGACTTGCGAGCTCTTGAGGTCGGGCTCGGCACTTTCGACTCCTACGTAAACGATTATTTCGTGAAATTCATGAAGTTGATGAGGTTTTGATAAAAAGCTGAAGGAATCTACAATATATTAAAGAATTGTATATAGATGGAATTGTAGAAAAGGTTAACAATAACAACAACAAAAACAAAACTTTGCTATATTAGAGAGGTGGAGATGAAAGATGCAATGACACTTGAAAAGGCAAATACAGCTTAAAAGTGTTGGCCAAAAGACTAAAAGACAAGAGAAATGATGTAGATGAAAGTAAAGCAAGCTTAGATTAGAAATAGCAATTTTCCTATTAGGTAAAAGATTGGGAAAACAAAATGGGAAAGTAAAAAACTATGCACACACACCTTTCATTCTGAGAATGCGCCTTTTGATTTCTTGAGCACAAGCTTCACAGTGCATGTACACTCCCAACACCACTGTAATCACAACAGGCTGCACCAAACAATACCA